TGCCCCAAGATATTTTAGATCATAAGTGGTCTTTCTTTCAGCAATTTTATTCAATAGAGGAAGAGATGAGCCCATGTTTCCATAAAATTAAATCTCTTGCTATTAAAATAATTATCAAATTCTTTTGGGAGTTTTTAAACTACTTGAGATTTTGTATTAATAGACAATTTAGATGTTAAACCCTTGAATTCATCAGAATTTCAAGAATATTCCTATCTTTGTTGCAATATAGAAAAAATAGTTTTGTCAGTGATGTTGATAGTTTAACGTTATCTTTTCATGTCTTTGTTTAGTTGTAAAATGCAACACGTTTGGCCGTCTCCATCAAGCCCTGCTCATGAATTGCATTCATCCGCTGGAGCAGTTCAGTTACAGATCTCATTGCAGCTTCAGGTGTGACAAAGGTTTTACAATGACTGGCCTGGACAACTTGCAATGTTTGTCATCTGGGCAATGGACAGCAGAAGTACCTCAGTGTGCAGGTATGACCCAACATAATTGGTGCCAAGTATTGGCATAATGGACAGGGGTGGGCTGCTGGGGGTTTGCAGGGATTCAGGAGAGCCCCTAGCTAAGATTCTTCACAGTTTGGAGAACCCTCAAATCCCACTCCTGGCTGGCACCTCCCACCCCCACCCCACCTCTCCCAGGATTCCCCACGTAGCCTATTTTAGATGCAGATAAGTGCAGGGTGTGTGCGGAGGCTTGGGGATGGCAGGAATGGGTCGGTTTCCAGCTTCCAGAGAGACTCCAGAGCCTGGGGAGGCCATTTTCACCCTCCCAGAGGCTCAAGGAAAGCAGGAGGCCAACTAGGCCACGTCATCATGGCCACATCCACCCATCAACCAGGCAGAGAACCTCTTGTTAAAATTTTTGAAGGATCCTTGCCAAGACCATTAATTGATTGTAGGTTAGCTGAGCAAAAATGGATGGAGGCTTTTACAACCTTGCTATGTTGGGGAATCAGGTAAAATTCTCATCTGACAATTATTTTTTTTATTGTATTATTTAGAAAATAAGAAGGGATAAAAACAAAATTTATACAGATTGTATTTTAATGTGAAAATTTAAATCTTAACCATATTTCCCAAACTACTATGTGAATTAAATTGCTGTTATCTTCTAGATCTGTACTGAATTCGGTATTAAACTATAAATAGAAAGAGATATAGCAGCGCAAAAATAATTCCATAGATAGGGCCATTTGCTGATCAAAATGGATTTCAAAGGAAAACTGTATATAAAGACACATGTAATAGAAGAAATATATTGACCATGTATTTTGATTTTGGCAATGGGCCTTAAAATTACATATCAATGCATAAATGAAATAAAATATTCTTTAAAAAATTGCTATTTATTTATTTCTCTTTCTCATTTTCCACCTGTTTTGCAATTCATCTTTATTTCCTGTTTTTCTAGCTCAGAATGCTAGTTTTTATGTCATGCCATATTCATAGATGTGTGAGAAATCCAGTGTTAACTGTTTACCTACCTACCTTTGCTAAACAGGCTGTACTGGATTCTGGATTCTGTAAAATTCAACAGCTTGTAGCCTCATTTGTGACAACAATAACAAATAATTATATTTATAAAGCTAAACTTATACTAAATATACTTTTACGCAATAATATTGTATAAAGTAATAATGTATATGTAAAATGTGCTAAAATAAGTACTCTATATTGTTGTAAGAAATAGCCTTCTGGGTTCAGTTCCAAGCGGGGGAAAAAGACACTAGAAACATGGTGACTGCTTGGAAAGATGGTTTAATGGTGGACAGGATCACATGCCTTGGGTGAAGAAAGAAAGGCAGAGATGTTGAGAGTCCCTTGATTTTTTACCCTCTGTTGCAATTTGAGTTTGTATTCTGTTTGATTGTCAGACTCCCATGGGGCCATACAGGGGCAACTCTATAGGCTGTCCTGAGTCCCAGGTTTGGTTGAGCCTTGCTGGATGATGATGATGTAATGAAAGAGCTTTGGGCAATTTCTATAATAGCTCTACCTGGAGTAGATCTTTGTTATGTAAAATAGACTGGCCTAAGCTGGAGTAATGGTCTATTAGCAAAGGTGGTGGTGGGGGGGCTGAGTTTCTGTCTCTCTGAGTTTCTACTTTCCTTTTTAGGGGAAATATTCTGCCTTTTTAGTATATTATAAAATATTTCATTTTCCTAGGAGAGGGGTGGGCTTTAACTTCCAACAGTATATTTCAGTTTGTCCCCAGTTTTCTATATTTTCTAAACATGATTTTTCAGCATTTCAAATTTTCCAG